ATATTGATGATTGAGAAAAATCTGCAGGTGCAGAAGCACTATGACAATTTGAAGAAGCAATTCGTGATGATGATGACATTGTTGATAAATGAGAAGAACTCGGCAATGACATGTTGTTACAAGAAGAAAATTTTTTAATAATGATAAACAATTGTCTTGTGTTATTCTTTTGTTTTACATATTTAATCATTATTGATTGCGTAAATGCTATAGCAAATAAAAGTATTAAATTCGATTTATCGAAAAAAAATTTTGAGTGACAATGCACGACATCTTTTGAAGATTTTTATTTTTTATTTAAAATATGGCCCATGGGCACCCATCAAAAAATCGGACGGCCCAGCCCAGCCCATGGTTTTCTGTTAAAGAAATTTCGGCCCACGGGCTGAGCTGGGCTGGGCCCAGCCCATTAGGACCCCTGTCAGAGACGTTCTCCCTATACCACTTCAGTGCACCACTTTTGTAATCAATGACTTCTGATGAGAAATAATACCACTACGACAGATATAGCCTGATTTTTCTTTCTATCTTTTTACACAACAGATACACATAGACAAAAAAACACAGCAGAAAACACAGAGAAACAAACAAGACAAAAGCAGTAAATGTGCAAAAGTACACTAATAACAACTAAGATGTGAGGATTAAGAGTTAATCAATTACAAAAGCTACAAGCACATACATACTATATCACTACTCTGACTTTGACTTATAAGATGTGGTTCCATTCGTTATACGGTGCCATAAACTACTTACCGCTTTCCATAGCAGCTTATTAAATGTTCCAGCGTCGGAAGAGTTAGTACTAGTCGAGACTAAGCAATCTCGACTGCTACTTACGTTATCAGCAGTATTTGGATTATCTATATATATTGAAATGTGAAAAATTGCGTTTTTATTATAAATTCCTTGGATTTTTGCAAAGGATTTACTACTCTTTTCGTACAGTATAACAAACCCCTATCTTCCAACTAGAAATGTGCAGGGTAAGCTTTTTTGTATCCTGTATCCTATCTGAAAAAAATTTCCTTATCCTAATCCTACTTTATCCTATGGTGCCTTTACCCTAACTACAGACCTGCACGAGACTCCGAACTTCGATTCCGACTTCGTCGAAATCGGAGTTGAAAAAACTTTCAGAATGGAGTCAGAGTTCGAGTCTTTAAGAGAGCTTCCATGAGAGCATCGAGTATACGAGGCACTCGATAAAATTTTTTTTTTCGATTTATTTTACTCATTCAAAACTTCAATGTCTAAAACTACTAACCCTAAAATTTTAGGTTCTAATATACTTTCTATGAAAAGTTACCCAAGACCAACTTTTGGCACTATCGGGCTGTTTTGAGGAAAAATAAGAAAAAATATTCTATAAAAAACATGTGATTCGAGGCGTCTTATCTCTTCTTTTCAATGACGAAGACCGCAGCTCTGTACCTTGTTTCTATCAAAAACTATTCAAAAAATACTTATCCACCTTTTTTTTCCGATGGACGTTAGTATAACCATGACAAAGGCGAACGATACAGATCTTATCGAAATTTTATTATTATGATATTACTTGCAGAATGATGTAATACTATAGAAAAATAGTGTGTCGTTTCTACTATTAGTTCAAATAGAGAAAAAGGTTCTTTAAGCTTTTTATAAAGAATTAATATACTACTGCTACTACTTTTAGTATGCCCTACGTATCTGTTAAAAGCCTTCTTTATTTAAAGTCTTCTATACATACAATTATTTTTGGTTTTGTCTAACCATTTATTCAACTTTGATGCTATTTGTTTGTTGATATTCATCATTTTGGTTCTTTCTGATTCAATCTGTCCCATTGGAATATTCATACCAATATTACGATCCTCATTATCATCGTCGTCGTCTGTTGGTATCTCTGAAAATGAAAAAGTAAGAAAGTTGAAATGAACACAATTGATTTGGTAATAACGTGTAATAGAGTACTTACGACGACCAGTTTTGTAGAGCTTCAGTTCAAGTAAATCTTCATCAGCAATATCATCAGGTATTATAGCACGTGGTGAAAGAATTTGTCCACGAAATACAGCCTGGTACAAATCGCGATTATCGCCAAATAATGCTTCTGTTAAATCATCGATTATTTTCATATAAGGTTGAATCGTAAAACGCATTTCATTACGTCCGTCTTTCTGCACCCATATTGTTCGAACAAATGATGGTGATGAAGTTGTTGTAGTGACACTCATTTAAAATCTACAACAATATTAAAAATATGTAGATGACAATTAATTAATTTATAATGTGAAAACATGAAAACCTTGAAGATGAACACGCTATGAATCATACTCATATTTTTTTTTGTGACGTTCATCACTAATTCACGTTTGTCTCAATAGTTAACAGAATTCAGTTTTTGATAGATAGCGCTATATACAGGTCAGTAAAAATATTAGTGGTTGGCAATATACCAAACCAGAAGATGATAATAAACAGAAGCAAAATGCATATGAAACACTTGGTATTATTAATGTATACTCTGTATTATATTTTAAGAGTAACATAAAAATGTACGTTACATATTTTGCAAAAGAAAAAAATCTTTTAATCTTTTAAAATTGTCATGCACGTATAATGTAAGAGTAGTTTTCACACAACACATGAGTTTAGTCGAAGGTTTCCTTCTTGACATAGTCATTTTACATCCGAAGGAAACATATAATATATTCATAACTCCATTGATGTATTTAATGTCTCTATTCCTAAAGATTTATTGTCATCACGAAAGATTGATGATGTATTATCATTTCTATGAAACATATCTATATTGAAAGTTTTACTTTTTGTCAATCTTTTTTTCTTCCTTTTAGATTCAACATTTGGTGTAAAATTAAATATTAAAATATAGAGTATACTGAATCTAATATGACGACACTCACATGATAGCCATTTTGAGAAATTGTTCTTCGTATTTTTCTCCTATTCCATTCAAAATCCTTGAAAGATCGCTAATCGCACTAGTGAGATTGTTAGCATCTGTTCTCTTTCAATTCTACTTGAAAAAATTGGGCTTAAAATATCGAACCTTACACCTACAAAGTTCAAATTAATGCAATGATAATAATATTATATAATTATTATATGTTCGAGAACGAACAAATGATTTCATGTTGTCGTGAATTTTGAAATCATTATGTCAACAATTCAATTTATAAAGAGAATCACGAAATAAAATATTTTATTGCTTCAATTGATTTTTAACATTTTTTAAAATACAGGGTGTCTGGAAAGTAGCTCCCTATTTTAAATTCTTCTTTTTTCTTCAATAACAAGAAATATTTTCTTTTTCTTTTTTATTATTTTGAAGCATGCTCCATTAGATTTTTTTGAGATAAAAACGAACATTAGTGGAGTGACTATTGAAGATTAAATACAACTTCTTTCTAAAAACTGCTAATAAATAGCTTCTTAGATTTTATGTTGTATTTCTTTTATATGAAAATCAGTATTCTAACAATTTTTTTATGGTTGTAAACTGTAATACTGTCATGGATATTAGAAGTTCTGACACGTTTGAATTCATTCTTTCATGTAGATGTCTTATAGTTCCTCTTTTTGCTTGTATATTTGATACAGGCTTGATACGTGAAAATATGTGAGAGGGATATGTTCGTTTTATGACTGTGGTATTTGATGTATGATTGTGATGATAAAGGAATCGAAGGAAAGCATATAAAAAAGTATCACGAGTGTTACTGTATTTCAAATAAGTTAACATGGCTAAATGTCTAACTGTCCAAGATCGAGCACGAATCGCTTCGAGATATGAAATTTGGCAATCCGTAGTTGCGGTGCAAAGGTGATGGAGATCTGAACATGGCGTAAATGCGACACTTGACGCAAAGACTATCAACAACTGTTATCAAAAGTTAATGACAACTGGTTCTGTATTCGATTCTGAGCGCTCTGGAAGACCGTCAATTTCTCATACGGCGTCAGTTGTCGATTTAGTTCAAGACATTTTCACTCGTAATCCGGATATGTCAATTAGAAAGGCCTCTCTAGAAAGTGGTTTTACTCGCCACGCGATTCACTCTGTTTTCACAAAAGAGTTGCATTACCATGCGTGGAAACCTCATTTGGTGCAACAGATGTTTCCAGAGGATTGTGATATTCGCATGGAATTCAGTGAAATTATAATCGGCTGGAAGGACGATTGGCCCGAACTGTTTGACAATATTTTGTGGTCCGATGAAGCTGTTTTTCATGTTGGAGGGTTTGTTAATCGGCACAATTGTCATTCTTGGAGTGATCATAATCCAGGTGTGACAATCGAAAAGGTGCAATAGCAGTTCAAATAAAAGCTTCTATTCTTGTATTTCAATTAATATACTAACTACGATTTTTTGAATAATTTTCGATTTTCACCATTAGATAGAACAATATTGAAGATGCCTATCAGTGTAATATTTAATAGGTTCGAAGAAGCTATTCATGGACATATTCAGGTGAACATTATTTTCATGGCCTATTTCTACGACTTTTCATAGTCATCTAGGATCAAATGACACGAGATTACAACCCAAAGAGAGATGTATTTTTCATAATATTCTCAGATTTTAGAATACTTATTTTGGAGCATGAAAAAATTGAACAATCATATAGAGAATGCAATACTCTTTGAGCTACATATTGGAGTGATTTGAGCCTAGGCTGCTATAAAAAGTTATAAAAATGGAGAAGGACGAAGACATCCATTTGAGAATATTCATGAAGAACTTCTTCGAACTTAATGAGTGTTACATAGATAAGTGTTTTCAATGCTGCTCTATCTAATGGCGAAAATCTGATCTCTATACCTACATACAATCGAAAGTTATTCTAAAAAACATGATGAGTGACATTTCAATAAAAATCCGACAACAGTTATGTATATTTCGATATTTTTCAGTCTACTATTATATTTATTGCTATGATTCATTACTAATTGTCACTGCCAAATCAAATGCTCTATCGAAATATACACTTCACTTTTTTAACAACTGCGTCCCAGTTACGTGCAGTGTCTGTTAAAGTATTCACTGTTCTTACAGTTGCTGAAAAAATAGTCAATGATAAACAAATATCTTAAATTTCCAATGCGATGGTTTTCAAAACACCAATAATAACGGCTAAACAGAATAAAATTATCAAGTTAAGCATCACGGATACTTTAATAAAGTAGTTAAAGTAGAGATTTTTCCACAAAATAAGAGCTTTTTTTAAGAAAAGAACTATTTTTTTATAAAATTTGATCAAAGGTT